GCCCAATATCAGCGGAGCTACTACAAAAAAACTTCGGGCGGTTCACCACATTTCTGCTAAAACCGTAGGTTTTACACGGGCAAATTTGAAAAACCACGGTTACAAAATTGAAAAGTCCGACGAGATTTGGCAAACTTATGGATTAAAATTAAGATTACTCAAACTGTTATTAAATTTGGAATAGGATAAAAGAACAATGGCGAAAATCGGACAAGTAGAAGTAAAGTTATGAAGAGAAATGTGCGAAAAAATAGCGAAAACAGCTGAAAATCGAACGTTTCGAATTAAATGAATTCGCGACGATCAAACTTATCCTAATGTAAAACTTTAAAGTTACAGAAAGTGTCAACAAAACAATTGCCTTTGACTACAGAAGCACGGAGATCCAATAAGGGATGATTTTTTCGCTGGTGAAAGTTAATGTCACTTAATTGAATAACTTTCGGTATGTGTTTGTGTCTGGAATGACCCTCTCTCCGTTGTCATAAAATAAGATAGGCCAATACAGTAGCAACTACTGCAATATCGATGTCTCTAGAATGGAACGGTTGATATTTTATGCATTGGTTGTAATTACTTCAAGCATGCATTGCATGCAGGACGATTTCGAGTCTGCTTTTCTTGGCTGCTACGAAGATCCGGAACTAATACAAAATCTCTTCCAGTGACAAGGATACATTCTTGCTGTGGAGTAATAGTATTCAAGAAGGTATCCGACCAGTTTGTCGAAATCCAGTTGTTCACTAAAATCATGAAATGGCTATCAGTTAAAATTAGAAATAAATTGAAATGAAATTAAGGATAAGCATCGTATAATTCTAAGATACTCCCTCCGCAAACCCTATCAGGATTGTTGTGCCAGGTCCCTGACCACCAAAGCTCCAGTCGGCCCCTGAGTCAGACCCCGTGTCGACAAATTTCTGGAGCCACAATTGGCATGTGTGTATAATTGTAGATTATTATTAATTTGTTTATTTCCTTCATTATTTTTTTTTTCATAAATTTATGTACTTATCATAGGTATGCTAATAAAATGTTTTAACTGCAAGGCCTATTGACTTTTACTTGCTGATAGCCAATTTATTTACAGGTTAAAACAAAAAGAATCATTTAACTACAATAAGCCGCTTTTCTTATACGAATACATAGTAAGAGAGTGTTCCAACATGAATGTTATGCTGTGGTTAATGTTTTACCGCTTTTATTTTATTTTCGACAAAGTGGGTTTCAGCGCAAACTGGGTCTCAACAAACTGGGATTCGTAGTTTTTGATTCAGCAAACTGGCATTCAGCAAACTGTGTCTTGGCTAAGTGAACTCCAAAAACTGGCAGTCGGCAACCCGGGGTTCTACAATCTGGCCTAGAACCGCCAAGAAGAAGTCAACACAAAAGTCTTCCTGTATGCAAAGCATGCTTTAACGAATAACAACCAATTCATAGCAATCATTCGTTCCCTTTCTCGAGACATCGATATTACAGACGATAACAACCCGGCTTTCCTTCGTAAAGGAATACTTAGCCTCTGTAATCATAAACTGAGTTTGTTGAAACTTTCAGAAGATTTGGAGTTTTAAATGTTCTGTCACAAATGTTGTCTGAAGAACAAGAATATGTCTCACTGATGCTTGGAGTTAGAAGTTTTCCAGAGACAAGATCACTGACGTATCATTGCTGCCACCATGTTAGCAGAATCTCGAGCTTCAGATACTTAACAAACTTATTCGTTAAATAATGAAAATAAGCAGAGGTAAATGACTGTCAATAAAAATAGTTGAGGGAACAGATGAAATGAACGAAGTCCAAGAATTGTTCATAACTATAAGACTTTTAGATTGCAGTGATAAAAGCGATACATGAAGATTATTGCTCAACATAGGGCTACACTGTTAAACACTAAAGGAAAAATATATAGTAAATTAATTGATGCCTTGCCTTCTTCATGCATGAAAATTATGGTAGTTGTCTGGAATACCTTGTATTATGCTGTCCGCAGTTCTTGCTGCTTCTTGCGCGTTCCATAGTTTTCTTGGAATTTCTGTTTTCGTTGTAGTTTACGCGCTCCTCTGGCACTGCGCAGAGAGACACATACTATTCTTGGCAGTCAAGTTCGGTTCATGTTGTTTTATGGTAAGATTCACATATTTGAATAGTTATTTTTATGCATACCTAAGCCAGTTCAATTAATTAATAATTGTGATCACAGACATATAAGCCTTGTTCCATATAACATAGTGTATTTCCTTAGAAATTAGATATTTACTTTCCCCTAGTTCGGCAATGGAGTGCTAGCAAGACATAGGGCCTACGCTGTATCATTTCACATATAATGAATCATGGAAACCAGTTACTTTTATTGAAATAATGATCACAATATTGTATCATAAAACTTGTAGTTTATATTCAAGATGGATCCCAGGAATATAGAAATTAACGTAAAGTGGTTTTGGGATCATAGATTGATTGATAGTTGAATAAATAGTTTATTATTTTGATTCTACTGATAAATAATGGTAAGACCGCATGTTCGCGGCATGTAGATGTTCCAGGGACCCTACGTTCGTCGGATTGTCGTTGCTATGGCAACGGGGTTCGTCTTGAATATTATGTGTTGAGGGTCGCCATCATTTGGCTAACATGAATATGATCCCTGATGTATCCTTAGAATAACATGTTTAGTTTTTAGTTGTTATCTTTGACTTTATATTAGAACGTCTTATGTATTTATTCATACTCTAGGTGAAGATAATGCTGAATTCACTAAACTATAGTACAGTAGTTATCGTGGCTCACAGCTTTGTAAGTCTTATCATATCTCACAAGTTCAATCGTTAATGTTATAGTACAATTATAATAATCCAGCACTATATGACGTTTTCATGTCTTGTATGGTAATTCACATACGAATGTAATTATGCTCTATTATGATAGTTATGCAAATGATTAATGACATGATGATACAGTATGTAATTTTATTGTTATTTACAGTTGCCACGCAAACAAATGCGAGTGATCAAACAGGGTTTGTGAACAAGCAATAAAAGGGTTATACTAGAGGAGCAATTTTGAGTTAGTCATTTGCGTCCTCTAAAGTAAAAAGCTGTATACGAGATCTACTACGGAAGATGTCGAGCACAACTAGTAAACTGAGTCAACTTGAACTGACAGCGGCACAAGCTCGTGCTGATGCAGCGATGGAAGCTGCACGGACAGCTTTTGCAAAGAAAAAGGCAGAAGCAAAAATAGAGGCGTTAAAAGCGCAATTGGAATTGGAACGCCTACAGCGAGAGGAATCCCTGGCAGCAGCCGAGGCTAGGGCATCAGTGCTTGACGACGAGATTAAAAGTCATAGTGGAACTGAGTTACGTAGCCTGCCAGCAGAAGGGCCTGCGAAGAGAGTGTCTGAGTACGTAATGGCATTGCCTAACAGCAATAATATAATACCAACACCAATGCCAGCATTGGATGTCACACCAGAATGTTCAGTAGCTGATTGCGGAGGAATTAATCCCTCACCAATGGAGTATGTCAAAAAGCAGATTAATCCATCATCCAATGAAACTTGCATAGAATTAAGTGAGATCGTGAAAAATATGAAGAAGCCAAAACATGAAGTTAAACGATTTTCTGGAAACCCCATCGATTTTCCTAAATTTATCAGGCAATTCAAAAGTAGAATAGTATCAAACACTGATACTAGTGAAGAGAGGATGACATATTTGGAGGAACTAACTACGGGGGAGGCCAACAAGGTTGTTTGTGGTTTCAGTCATCTTCCCAGTGAAAAAGCCTATCAAGCGGCTATGGATCAACTTTCAGACAGATATGGTGACAACGAAGTCATCGCAAGCACTTACATAAAGAAAGCATTAGAATGGCCTACTATTAGGCCAGGAGAACCAAAGGCTCTAGATGAATATGCCTTATTCCTAGTAGAATGCATGAATGCGGCAGAGCATGTAATTGCAAGCAAAATTTTGGAGTATCCCGAACACTTGAAGAGGTTAATGTTCAAACTACCAGTCTACCTACATGACAGATGGCGGAATATAGCATTGAACCTAAAGGAAAACAAGAAGCCTGTCCTATTCAGGGACTTTGTAAAATTTGTGCAAAAGGAAGCTAAGAAGGTCAATGACCCAATTTTTGGAGCTGTAGGAAGGACAGCCACAGGAATGGAAACTCCGAGAATGGAAGTGAAGCTTAAACGTACGACGGTCACCGTAAGGCAAACTACTGTAGAAAGCGGTGTCAATGGAGAAGTTGTCTTCATGTGCCCCATCCATCAAGGATCGCATCCGTTTATAAAATGCAGAACATTCTTATCAAAGTCCGATGCTGAAAGAAAGCAGTTTATAAAGAAGCACAAGGTGTGTTTCAGATGTCTGGCATCTACGACTCATTTCGCAAGGGAGTGTAAAGCCGAGATCAAGTGTGAAGTTTGCAGTAGCCCCCGACACCTAGGAGTGATGCATATCCATAACCGTGAACAACAGACAACTCAAATCCAGCACAAGCAAATACCACTGCTACTACAAAACCTGTGACCAGCAACTGTATGGAAATATGCAGAGATGGAGTAGGACGTTCATGTGCGAAAATATGTTTGGCCACTGTGTACATGGCAAAGAATCCTAACAAGAGAGCCAGAGCAACAAATCATTAGCAGATACCAGAATCTTTGATATGTTGGGAGTTTCTGGAGAATTGTCAAACTACACCATGAAGACATGTAATGGGGAAAGAGAAACCAAGGGAAGAAATCTGAGTGGTCTTATTGTGGAATCTCTTGATGGGGCGACCAAGATAGAAGCACCAAGCTTGCTAGAATGTGCGGAAATCCCAGGAAATATGTCGGAGATTGCTACACCAGAGGTAGCGATGGCCTTTCCTCACTTGAAGTCGATAGCAGGACAGATCCCACCTTTGAATAAGAGTAGTAATGTGCTGCTGTTGTTAGGACGTGATGTCCCGCAAGTACATAAGGTTAGAGAGACACGCAATGGGCCCAACAATGCACCAGGGGCTCAGAGGCTGGATCTGGGATGGGTAGTTGTTGGAGAAGTTTGTCTTAATGGAGTTCATAGGCCAAAAACTATCTCTACACTTCGCACACAGGTACTCATAACTGGTAGGCCCACAACTTTACAACCGTGTCCGAATACATTTCAAATCCATACATTATTTGATGACAAAGATGATTTCCTCAGTCTATCAGTTGAAGAAAGAAAGTTTCTTGAAATCATGGAAAAGGAAGGCGGACTTCGGGATGGCAAGTGGACAGCACCGCTGCCTTTCAAGAAGCCAAGAGAACGTCTCCCAAATAATAGAGAGCAAGCATGGTCGCGAGCTCAAATACTCAGGAAAAGCATGGACAGAAATCCTCTTAAAACACAACACATGCTTGATTTCATGGATGGAGTTATCAATAAAGGGCATGCAGAAGTTGCTCCTCCATTGAAGAATGATGAAGAATGCTGGTTTTTACCGTTGTTTGGTGTGTACGACCCAAAAAAGAAAGACAAGATAAGGGGAGTCTTTGATTCTTCCGCCACATTTTGTGGTTTGTCACTAAACAAGGTGCTTCTTAAAGGACCTGACTTCAACAATGACTTAGTTGGTGTGCTAATGCGCTTTAGGAAACAAGCTGTTGCAGTATCTGCGGATGTAGAATCCATGTTTTATTGCTTTGAAGTCGCAGAAAAGCATAGGAACTTTTTGCGTTTTTTCTGGTATGCAGATAATGACTACGATAAGCCGCTAATAGAGTACAGAATGAGGAAGCATGTTTTCGGAAACAGCCCATCCCCAGCCGTCGCATGCTTTGGACTAAGGGACGTGGTAAAGGATTCTGAACCAGATGTTAGAGAGTTTGTCAACAGGCATTTTTACGTTGATGATGACCTTGTTTCATGTAAGGACTCAGAGTCTGCAATATCATTACTGAAACGAACTAAGCAGGTGCTGATGCAGCAAGCACAGATTAACCTTCACAAGATTGCCTCTAATTCACAAATGGTGTTGGATGCATTTGCACCAGTGGAAATTGTCCAGGGTGTTAGAGATTTCAACGTTTGTGAGGAAGATGTACCTTTGCAAAGGACACTGGGTGTGCAGTGGCGTTTAAGAGACGACATGTTTACCTTTAACATAGATTTAGGCGAGGAGCCATATACAAAACTAGGTATGTTGTCCACTATCAATGGAGTGTTTGATCCTTTGGGATTTGTGGCTCCCGTGATGATTCAAGCAAGGGTACTATTTCGCAAAATGATCACCTCATCTACAGACTGGGATGAAGAGTTGGCGGGTTGTTACCTTCAAGAATGGAAATCTTGGAAAAATGATTTAAAAGAACTACAAAACGTTTCAGTACCACGTGCGTACCCACTTACCTTTGGTGAAATGGTTGGACTTCATGTGTTTTGCGACGCATCGGAAGTAGCAGTTGCCGCCGTAGCCTACTTGGTCAGTAAAGAGGGTGAACAGAGACACACAGGTCTTGTCTTTGGTAAGTCGAGGTTAGCACCGAAAGCGGGACACAATCCCTAGACTGGAGCTGTGTGCAGCCGTATTGGCTATAGAGATAGCAAAAGTATTCTGTGCTGAAGTCAATATACCTTCTCAGGAGGTGACCTATCATTCGGACAGCAAGGTAGTCTTAGGATACCTAAACAACACAACTAGGCGTTTTCATACATACGTAGCAAACAGGGTGTTTAAAATCTTGCAATTTTCTGATACCCATCAATGGAAGTACGTTCATACAAGCAAGAACCCTGCGGACCATGGGACACGCCAGGTAGCTGCACGAAACATGAAAGATTGTCCATGGCTTAAAGGTCCTCATTGTTCAGTATTCAACGTAGATGTCCCAGAATGGTTTCCCTTAGTAAGTCCTCAACAGGATAAAGAACTCAGACAAGAGGACAAAGTGATTGTTATGAAGACAAATGCACATGAATTTTGCCTTTTGGAAAGAGCCAACAAGTTTTCATCTTGGGAAAGCTTGATTAGGCCCATTACTCTACTTATACATGTGGCTTGTTCATTCCACTACAAAAATAACGATGATCATTGCAAAGGGTGGCACCATTGCCGTCTGAATGATATAGCTCTAAAACAGAGAGCAGAGAAGTCGATAATCAAACAGGCACAAGAAAAATTCTATCAATGAGAACTGAGAAGCCTGAAAAGCAGCAAACCGCTACCCAACGACTCATCAATACTATCACTGGCTCCCATGCTTAATGAAGATGGGTTAATCTGTGTTAGTGGGCGACTCAGGAAGGCGACTCTTCCAATTATCATGAAGCACCCTATTGTCGTACAGGGTAAGTGTCACATTGCAACTTTACTAGTAAAACACTTCCACCATAATATATATCACCAGGGCAGACAGTTTACTGAAGGAGCAGTGAGAGAAGCTGGGTATTGGGTAGTTGGGTGTAAAAAGTTGGTATCTTCTATCATCCATCATTGCGTAACCTTCAGAAAGTTAAGAGGAAAGCTCAGTATCCAGCGTATGGCTGATTTACCCAGTGATAGGATTACATGTGTCCCACCTTTCACCAATGTAGGGGTCGATTGTTTCGGGCCGTGGGAAGTGACAGCCAGAAGAAAGAGAGGAGGAGTAGCTTTAAATAAACGGTGGGCAGTGATGTTTTCGTGCCTTACCTCAAGAGCCATCCACATTGAAGTAATTGAGACGATGAGTAGTTCTTCATTTATAAATGCGATGAAGAGACTAATAGCCATCAGAGGAGCAGTTAAAGTATTTAGATCTGATCAGGGGTCTAATTTCATTGGTGCAATTGGAGATGATACAGTCCAAACGTATTTGCTTAAGAACAATGCCAAGTGGCATTTAAATCCTCCACATGCCTCTCACATGGGAGGATCATGGGAGAGGATGATCGGAGTAACAAGAAGAATTCTAGATGGCATATTAATTAAACATAAGTATCAAGCCTTGACACATGAAACACTGGTCACTTTCATGGCCGAAGTCGTAGCAATAGTTAATGCAAGACCATTGGTACCATTGACTACAGATGCTGAGGAGATAGGCTATCTAAGTCCAGCACTGTTACTTACCCAAAAGCATGGTAGCATCGAAACCGTAATTACAGATAATTTCCCTAATATGTACCAAGCACAATGGAAGGCAGTGCAAATATTGGCGGATCGTTTTTGGAAACAATGGAGAGTACACTATCTGCAGACGCTGCAACAGAGGCAGATATGGAAAAGAAAATGTCGAGATTTCCTGGTAGGCGACGTGGTTCTACTGCAAGAAAAGAATGCACAAAAAAATCAATGGCCACTGGGTGTTATTACTAACACCTTTCCAAGTGACGACGGCAGCGTCCGGAAAGTTGAAGTGCGATTGTCTTCGACTGGCAACGTTTTTGGCGGCCATTTTAAAAAGCGCCCTCAATTGCCTCTCGAATCTTCACATTAATAACTTTTGCTAGTTATACTTTACTCCTATCGTTACATATTCAAAATTTGGTCAAACCTACCACTTCTGTGCCTATTTTACCCATATTTATGTAGTTTATTTGATTTTGACGGCCATTTTGAAAAAAGCGCCCTCACGCGAAAGTTCTCAGGTTACACCCCTTTTACCTCACATATTCTGATTCCAAATAAAAAACTGGTCTAGAAAAACCATATGAGAATTTCTACCTCTCCAAAGTGGCACCTATCTCAATTATAGCCTGGTCTTAAGTGTTGGCGCTGGTGATCAGCGCAGTAGCAAGCAACCCCACCAGGCACCCATTTATACTACTGGGTGGAGAGAAGCAATGCAGATAAAGTGTCTTGCTCAAGGACACAAGCGAAATGCACAATGTATGTTTATATCCAGCTAGCTAGTATCTTTGTTTTTTGGGGGGTTTTTTTGTGATTTACTACGAAGATTGGAGTATCAATTTACAATTCATTCACATTCAAAAACATCAGTATTTGGAGCTGTCAGGAATAAACAGTATACAAACATCAAAATACAATTGAAAACATAAAAAACAAATAATAATAAATAATAATAATACATTAAAATGATTATTTAAAAAAAAGTGGGATTAACTGTTCCCTGGATAAACAGAACAATTAACAAGTCACATAAAAACATTTGAAAAAACAAGGTGAATTGGTGTCCCATATTCTATTTCTATTTTTCGGCCGGGGCAATCGTTCAATGTTAAAGTACCAACACGTAACATGTGGCTAACCACCCTATTCACGCCCCCTAGATCCGCCACTATTATCTATCATTATTCGTATTAGCATCGAGCGAAGCCCAGACAGTGGAGGTTCCTCAGTCCACTGTTGAACCAGGGAACAGTTTTCACTGTTCCCTGGTTGAACATACGGTATAGGCCTACCCTTCTTCTAAACCCTTCCACATCTTTCTGTCTGATGTTTATCATCACGTAGTTTTGTGTTCCGGATAGTAAATTTAGGCTAATGTATTAAAATTCAGAATCAACTGAGTCAATTCAATCACCAGTTTTACTTTTGCATTGATTTAAATAAAAGGCACATACAAGGGCTGAAAACTAGGTCCTATTGCGATAACGGACAGAGCAGCTGATATCAGGCTGAGCATGGGCATACACAGATTTAAAAGTAGCGCATGTGCAAAATGTGATCTAGGCCTATAAGAAGAGTTATGAATAATTTATTAAATTTTACCAAACTTACCTACGAAAAAGAAATTGCAGGCCGCAGCTCTGAGATGGTGCTGACAACGGTCTGCCTAGCCTGGGTTTCAGGCCCTAATTTTGGGTTACTCAGTTGTTATTGCACTTAGCGCGAGCCATACCTGATTTGATTGGTGTCCCACACTCGATTTTTTTTTTCGAGTTCCTGTCTGTAAATTAACTTTCTCGTTGGTGGCGCTGTCCAGAATGAGAAAAATAATTAAAAATATGAGACTTCTGGCAAGTCTACAGTTAGACTTGCCACAAGTCTAATTTATGGATTTTCGTAGTACATTAGCGCATTTCGGAAAGCGCCACCAGCGTCAGTTTATGTTGAGAAACTTTTTTGATGAGAATTAGAAAAATCCCAGAAAAAGTATACTATGGAACGCCATGCAAATAAGTAATATGGAACGCCATTTGTGCCAAAATCGATTTATTCTTAAGCATTTCAACTGATTAAGACAAAGATTAGGGACTGGAACCCAGTCTAGTCTACAGTCTGCCGTCTTTGAAATTATTCTGTCGCTCATTGCTCATTGAGGTCCTCGAGGCTGAGTGCAGTGTCTCTGGCAATGGTGTCGGGGAATGTCATGAGGGCATTCCTGCCTCTGCGAGAGTGAATCGTGTACACGTACATCAATAATCCGAATTAATTAATTCTTCTTAATTTAATTCTTAATTAATTTAATTAATTTAGTTAATTCCTCTGCAATTTCGGCAGTGTAATTGAGATCGATATTTTAAATATATTCGGCTGTGCGTTTATTTGTTTTACCTTTTTTACAAAAAAAAAAGTTTCTTCTCTTTCCTAAAGTATAGTAACTGACATTATCAAACGATCTATGGTACTCATTTTTAACCTTTTTAAAAAGTTTCTGTTTCCTGAGAAAAGTCGGGTAAGAAAATATCAATTCATAGGAATATTAGCTGACATGAATCTGATTCTAGAAATATGCGAGGACGTGCAGACTTGCATAACATAACGGTACCGAAAGTCTATTAATTTTTAATCCAGGGTATAAAGAAGATTAAGTGTCAAGGCAAGTGTACCTGTTTGCATTCGAAAATTCTTGAAGTGCCTGGAAGTCTGCATAAACTGATAAACTGATTTGGTGTTATTGTAGCAAACCTGTTTAATATAAGCCTAATCATAAATATATTATATTGCTTCCAGTTTGAACCTAATTTGAGCACCATTAGCTACCGGTGTCGTGCTACACAGGATATTATTAAGATACAATTTTGATTATTATGAACTATTACTCTCATAAGGTCATGCAAAAAATAAGGTATATCATGGTAATGACCATTGTATTGTATTCAAATCGTCGGTAATTTTAAGGAGACATTAAAGCATGTGAAAGTAAATGTTCTTATCAAACAAAGAGCAGTAATCGGCTGTGGACTCATACCAGCAAAGTATTGATCTACGTTTCATTATGCAATCCGCAGATTGGTATGCCAAATTTGTATTCTTATTTTTAGCAGTTGTTGTTTCTCCATCTCAAAGTGAGTTTTGTTTTTACTTCGATTGAATGAAGCATTTAATTGTCTACAATCATCTATAATTAGTTTTATAGAGCCTATTCATCAGCTTGTTCATTAATTTGGGTAACGGGACGACAACACCATGTTAACTGCCTAAAAGTGGTGGCAAGAAACGGAAAATAGAAAAATGGTATTACAAAGGAAACGTTATAGAAATTGTTAATTCATTTAAATACCTAGGTGTTTTATTCAGTGCTAATGGTCTTTGGAAAAATGCTAAGGACAAAAATTGTATACAAGCAAAAAAAAGCTTTCTTTTCAATGAAATCCATAATCAATCGAAATTTTAATCATCTACCTGCCAACGAATGTAATCACATTCGACTCAAAAATACTTCCGATTCTCGGGTATGGATCAGAAATTTGGGGCTTAATTAAAATGATTGAACGTGTCCATAGAAAGTGTTCTAGATACGTTTTAAGTGTAGGGAATAACGCGCCCAACATATCGATTCTATCAGAAATGGGACGGTTTTCCATATCTATTACATGTCTACTTAATATAATTCGATTTTGGATATACATTATCCACACTGATCAGAGCAGCTACTTAGTGAAATGTTATGATTTACAGATTAGAAAAATAGAACGAAATGAGAATTGTTGGGCTATGCAAGTTAAAAATTTACTTTTTTCTATGGGCTTTGGTTATGTGTGGATTGCACAAAATGTAGATGATCAGAGAAGTTTCATTAATGACTTTAAGTTACGTATTAAGGACATTGAACGGCAAAATTTTCTTGAGAATATAAAATCATTTTCAAGACTTAAATATTATTGTGTATTCAAAAGTGACATTTATTTAGAAAGTTTCCATCTTTATATTAAGAATTTAAAAATGAAAACAATTATGACAAAGTTGAGATTAGGTGTTCTTGACCTTGAGGTTGAAAGAGGAAGATGGGCCAAAAAAAAAAAAAACGAACGAGTATGTAAACTATGTAATTATGATTTGGTTGAAAATGAGTTCCATTTTATTTTACAATATCCCTTTTATCAATTTAAATTTTTCTTGCATAAACTGGACCTCCCAAATGTTGTTATTACTTTACGTTCACTTATTGTAGTTGACCATTTAAAAGGTCAAGATTACTTTTTAATTAATTATATGTTAGTTGTTGCCTCATTCACAATTTTTAGATAGATGTGTATAAGAGACAGAGGTAGAATTCTATTAATAAACTGTAAAGTGGGCGAAACCCCCCAAAAAAAAAAAAAAAAAAAAAAAATATCCCTTTTATGAAAAATTAAGAAAAAAATATTTACCACCATATTATGTTAACTTTCCTTCAATAGAAAAAATTTACTTTATTAATGTCCTCAAAAAATCAAAATATATATTATAACCTTGTCAAGTTCACTTATCTTGCATACAAAAATAGAAACCATTATTTTGATAGCATACTTACACATAGAAGCTGATTATTTTATGATTTTCGTTTATGCCAATGGCCTATATGCTTAATAAATATCCTAGGTATTATCTTACCTAGGAACGAACGAACTGGCTATGTATTGTTTATAATATCCAGAGGTGACGGAACTAGGGGGTGCTGTGTTATGGAGAGTAATGTGTGACCGGAAATGGTCTGCAGTCAATTGGTTGTTACCATGCGCCAGTGATGTTGGAGTATATAGTACAGCAATATGAAACTATTATATAGGCCTAATGAATGAATAAAGTTCGGAGTTTGTCGGGTTGTGAAATGATTATTTCACATTTTGAGTGCTCCCTAAATTCATAAGTGTAAGCTAAATTACGGTGATTAATTTAATTAGCGAAGAGATGGAGACAATTATTTCGAATCCCTCTTTCCAAGAGGGGATGCAAATGCTTTGTGAAAATGAGTACCCCGCGGTACTCATTTTCACAAAGAAATACACACAACTGGTTAGCTAACAATTATGTCAATGTTACATGAACACCTGGGAAGGAAGGTGCAATCACGTTGTTACCTAGCAAACGTCTGTACTGTATGGGGGGAGGGGCTCCTGATGTACTGTGTAGCGGGGGACGATGAGGCATAAGACTAGGCGTAGTCCTAACTAAGACAGTGGAATTATATGTAATAGAAAGTGCACTTTCGGAAGAAATAAATTAAAATAAGAAAAAAAATAACTAAGAATAATTCATTTGCAGAGGTACCTTATAATTTATTTAAGTATTATACAATGCTAACAATGCGGCTCTTGTAGCCCTGGCTTGGGCAAGGCATGCATGTGCAAAGCAGTGGTGTTTGTTTATCTATGAAAAAAGCACGCCGGGAAAGTTTGCCTTACCAGGAAAAGGTGACGTGTCTAGCTTAGTGGGTGTGGGTGTGTGTGTGTGTGTGTGTCACGTTTTGGTGTTTCCGTGAGGTTTGTATGTGTACGACATATCTCAAGAACGGCTGCATAGGCATAACTGAAAATTACAGGGAGTGTTGGTATAACCCAATGAAGAAATGATTAAAGCTTGGTTTCCTGTCGACAATTAAAGTCAAAATTTCTAACGATTCATACGTTTTTTACGATTCTTACGACTCTACGCAAAGTTGAAATAATGCCGACGTCAACGACGTTTGCGTTGATCGTGTTAGGCCCCAGATAAACAAGCAATTTTCAGCTGCTTACGAAAGTTAAACTTACGACGTTGAACTCAATCCAGAGTTCAAAACGAGCGCTTGCGACTGTTACGTTGAGTTGAATATTTCTTGCGATAAAAATGACGTAATTTTTAGTTTTTATGATTGGCTGCTTTCTGTCCTCTACTAATCCTGTACTTGGTACCCAGGATTTTCGCTCGAATAGACCAGGCTATCTTTTTATGAGCGGATACTGAAAATGTTAGCAAAAGGTCTAGCATTAATACCATGGATTGCAAAGAAGTTACATTAATACAATGCAAGTATGCCTATTTGAAGTTCGTAAATATGTATTTTGTTTCACAAATAATGCTTCGAAGATTTCCCTGAACATTCGTGTTTCTTATACAGTACCACCAAATTTTAATTCTGGGAAACTGCAATAATAGGCCACGGCCTCGAAGTGCTTGTCACCCATTTACTTTGAGAAGAAGATTTAGGACAAAAAAATATTGCTATGCGGGAAATTGGATTGGTGGTAAACTTCAGCCCTAAAGCTTGGTTCCCCGGCCAATAGGACGCAACGCAACGACGCAAACTCAACATATCGACGCAAAGTGACGCAACGCGATGGTTTTGCGGCTTCCAAGCGGGAACCGACGACGCAAACTTGGCAACGCAACGCAGCATCGACGCTACTCAACTTTTGCGTTGTTTGAGGATCGTCTTTGCGTTGTTTGCGAAAAGTTGAATTACTTTTCAAAACGTAAGCGCCGCAACGCAAGGAAAAAAGCTAATTTGCACATGCTCTAACTGATGGATATATAGTTAGTGCTTCGGGTTTACATTTCGGCGATGCGTTATAATCTGTCATCTTACACCGTCGCCATCGCCCTAGCCATCACCACTTAAATAATAATAATAGGCTAATACTTATTATTGGCTGCTGTTATCAATGATGTTGCTGCTACTTATTACTATTATTGTTTTCATAGCCTATCATATCACAGCCCAGCTGGTCTCGATAGAGCCGCTGTGACGATGCTTTTCTACTGCATGGCATATGCCTATCTATATAAGACTGTAAACATTAATATTTATATGCAATCTTGCCCAAACGTTTTTTAGGGGTGACGCCCAGAGTGGGGCGGGAATAGGGCCCCGTTGAGGAGATATACCGCCCCTCCCGTTGGGGAGAAAAAACCACAAATCGTCGGGGAGAAAAACAATGTATCGGTCACACGCTAGAGACATTGGACCCATCCCCGCTGCCCCCGTCGTGCAAATCCTGGCGCCACCCCTGAAACCGTATTACATTGATTTAAATATTTTTCTGAGACTAGCACTAATTTTATCTTTTTATTTTGGTTGTTTAAATGTACAATATTTAATCATGTTATGGAAAATATTATACCTACTTGTTATACAGATCTGCATAAACAAAATTCAAATCCTAGATTTACAAACATGAAAATGTCATACAATTTGTAAATATTTAATTTGATATGCCAAATTAATAAACTAAAACATTACCCAGTAAAATGAGGCCTGGCGCAGTATTTAGATAATGTTTATATTAATAATTAAGTAAGTGTAAACTGTATATATATATTACTCGGGCCTAGGCCTAATCTATATATAATTGTTGATTTATAATGATTTTTTTATTTTTTCCTCAGGGGAGGCCTATAATTACAGTTAAGCTAAAAAGAAAAATCAATTAAATTTAAAGCACTATTTGTACAGGGCTAACCCAGCCAGGCCTGCGAAAAGTAATACCCTCTGAACACAACCCAGTCCCTACAATACATTGGTTACCCTACGACAAATGATAATTTCATAACGGTTTTTGAAAGCTTCCCGCGAAAATCATTGCGTTTACGAGGTAGCGGCAAGTGGGAACCGTATCCATTTTGTTACGTTGCGTCACATAAGAAGTGCAAGTTCAACTTTCCATAAAGAGGGGGATACAAAATTGCTGGAAGAGCATTTCCTTACGTTGCGTTGCGTACGTTGCGTTGCGGCAGGTTTTCTGCAAGTTTGAAAATCGACGTAGGCCTATCGCATGAAAATTTAATATGTCGGTTTCCTGACCAACACTGTTTTGCGACGATTTAACCTTACGTTACGTCGATTTCACAACGCACAAATCGCAATGTGTTTCCTGCCAAATCGCATTTTGTTACGATAAAACGACGTAGTCGTAAGTAAATATGCCTTCTCACGTCGACAGGAAACCAGGCTTCAGTTGTGGTGACGGTCCTGAGTAGGGTGTTGATGTGAGGGCCATTTAAAGGGATTTTACAGCAAACGTCCTAGATAAGAAACTAATCAACTGATATGAATGAAACTTTCGTGAAAACTTAACCAAATTACAAGGAAGAAATTATGGAGTGTAGGTGACGATACAAATTCGGGTGTGCATTTGAGGGCCAAAAGGTCCCAGACCTG